GCTGAGGTACTTCGCCGCATGGCTCAGCTCCTCTATGTTAAGCACCAGCGTCGATGGATCCATTCATCCTACGCTGTACTTTTCAAGGACTTCGTCAATCGTTTAGAAGAGCGCTTTACCACCAAAACTGTCCAGTCGTATCTGATTCAGGATTGCAAGACTATTGATGATCCCTACAACATCATCACTGTTGTGCTATTGCAATACCAACAAGCCATCAAAGAAACCATCCTAACACCCGATGTCGAGTACTTTCTTCTACTTTGTAAGCGGAGAGGCCAGAAACCTGTCCCCTTTGTACCCGCCTTAGATGAAGATTTTGAGTTTTTCTTCAAGAAAGACTCTCTATGGCAATCTGAAGATTTGGAGGCTGTCGTCGACCAGGATGTTGGTCGCACATGTATCCTTCAAGGACCAGTGGCCGCGAAGTACTCTGTTAAGGTGGACGAGCCAATCGCTGAGATCCTTGGCAGCATTCACCAAGGCCATGTTACTCGCCTTCGAGAAGAACGTTACTGCGCCACGCTTGACTCAATTCCTTTTGTTGAGTATTTTGGAGGGGAATCTATACAGTTGGACATGTCTTCGCTTGCAGACGGCATCGAGCAGTCCCACAACGAGCAAGCCAGTATCTATAGCCTTCCTTCCTCCCTTAGTATGCCTCTACCCGCTGTCGACGTTTGGATGTCTCTTTTGGCAGGTAAGAGCCGCTCCTGGCGCCACGCCATCATGTCAGCAGGTATCGTGATTCAGGAAAATAAGTGCGTGGCAAATCCCATGAGACGACTATTCGCACCTGCCCATGGTATTCGTGTTCAGATTCGCAAACCTGATGTGCCCTCACAAACCGAGGTTGTCTTAGAAGAGCAGCAAGAATCTGGCATTTATGAGGTGGCTGTTCGTGCTGGTTTAAATGAAGATGGAGAAATTATTGTAGAGATGTTCGAACGAAGGAACATGTCCGACTTGGTCGTGTCTCTACCCCTGCGATTCAGGTACAAGCCTGAGTATGGTTACGCACCCATTAGAGAAATCATGGAGGATCGAAACGAGCGCATAAGGCGATTCTACTGGAGCATCTGGTTTGGCAAAAGCCATCCCATCCTGGAGGGGAGTCTTAGCGACAGCTTCGAGTGCGGTAAAGAGAAGATTACTCGTCAGCATGTCGAAAGTTTCATCCAGGCCATCAACAACTCCACCAGGACCCATAAGAATTTTCTGGAGCCAGCTACGAACGTTTCTATAAGCTTTGCCATTCCGGTAGCATGGAAAGCCATTGTAAAGCCGTTATTTCTTAACGCACTTAATGGCGACTTGCTCCAACTTGTTCACTTGTCGAATGAGTTTCGTATGACACCCGGAGCGGAACCTTTGAAAATCGGCGAGGAAGTATCGACTGTGGCACGTATCAACGCCATTATGAACCAAGATTCAGGGAAGATGGTCGAAGTCAGTGCGGCCGTATTGCGAGGCAAAGAAATAGTCGTGGAGATCATATCCCGGTTTCTGTACCGGGGGGCTTTCGTCGACTTCAAGGACACGTTCCAATGGAGAGATGAGCCCCTTATGCAAATACAGCTAGCTACCTCCAAAGACATCGCTGTTCTTCGAACGAGGGAGTGGTTTGTTCCGACGCAGGGCTGTAACATAGATCTTGTTGGACACACCTTAACATTCCAAATGCGCTCGCTGTACAAATTCCAAAGCAAGACTGTCTTTCGAAGGATAGAGACACATGGAAAAGTTACATTGGAGTTGGCCCCCCAGAAAATTGTGCAAGTCGCTACTGTGCAATATGAAGTGGGCATTTGTCACAGTAACACGGTGATTGAGTTTCTTGAGAGATATGGTTCTTATTCCCAGAACTCTGTGGACTTCGAAGATCCCGTTTCCGTACCGAATAATGGGGAAAGTCTGGTTATATGCGCTCCATCCTCGAATGAAGCATACGCACGCACTTCGGGAGACTTCAATCCCATTCATGTCTCGCGTACATTTGCAGAATATGCCGGACTTCCTGGACTGATTACTCATGGCATGTATTGTAGTGCTGCCATACAAGACCTGGTGGAACGCCTGGTTGCGGATGGTAATGCTGGGCGTATCCGGCAATTCTCTATGAGCTTCGTAGGCATGGTCCTACCTAATCAAAAACTCGAAGTGAAACTAGAGCATATCGGCATGGTGGAAGGTATGATCCGTCTTCATATAGAGGCTAGAGCTCAAGAAACAGGACACCGTGTCATTGTTGGCGAGGCCAAAATCACCCAAAAGATGACAACTTACGTGTTCACCGGTCAGGGATCGCAAGAAAAGGGGATGGGAATGGATCTTTACAACCAATGTCCAGCAGCTAGGGAAGTATGGGATCGGGGTGACAAGTATTTTCTGCATAAATACGGTAGGTTTGTCCGCTTGTAGGAGATGAGACGGACAGCTGACAGTTGGAGCAGGATTTGCAATTACAACCATTGTTCGAGATAATCCAAAGCAACTTACCGTTCATTTTGGTGGCCGCCAAGGAGAAGCTATCCGTCAGAACTACATCAACATGAAAGTCGAGACAGTCGCCGAAGATGGGTCAATCCAATACGAAAAGCTTTTCAAGGATGTGGACCATAACACGCAGTTTTATACATTTCGCTCGCCAACGGGGCTGCTCTCAGCTACACAGTTTACACAACCAGCATTGTCTTTGATGGCGAGAGCCAGTTTCGAACACTTACAAATCCAAGGATTAGTAGATGGCAACTGCTACTATGCTGGTCACTCGCTGGGTGAGTTTTCTGCGTTAGCAGCGGTGGCAGGTATAATGTCGGTCGAGTCCCAAGCGCTAATCGCCTTTTATCGTGGGTTGACTATGCAGAAAGCGGTTAACCGTGACGAGAGCGGGCGATCAAATTATTCTATGTGTGCCGTAGACCCTAGCAGGATCTCGGCGACGTATGATGAAGAGGCGTTCCTAACTATTGTGAGGGAAATTGCCGCAGAAACCGGTTGGCTGCTAGAAGTTGTCAACTTTAATGTGGCAAATAAGCAATATGTTTGCGCTGGAAATCTACATGCTCTGGACACCCTTGCTGGTGTTACAGATCGCTTGAGGCTGCTTCAGATCAACGCCTCGGAGATGGAGGAGTGTTTGCATGAGATCATTCGGCAATGTGTACAAGAAACCAAATCGAAGTCAACCCCACTGGAGCTAACTAGGGGAATCGCGACAATACCACTCCAAGGGATTGACGTGCCGTTTCATTCAACGTTCTTGCGTGGTGGGGTGCGGCATTTTAGAGAGTTTCTACACGCAAACATTGATAAGAGGAACATCAACCCTGCTAAACTGATTGGAAGATACATCCCCAACGTTACTGCACGGTCATTCCAGATAAGTAAGGATTATTTCCAGTATGTATACGATCTTACTGGCTCGTCGCAACTGAGAGATGCCTTGAAGAACTGGGATATATACGAGAAGTCAAATGGTGAGGAGTCAAATGGTGTGGAAGAATGTAGCGAATGTAGAAACTCTCTATAAAAAATAGTTTCTTACTGTATGTTTATCTAGTCGATCCCCATCATATATTAGTAGAAATTGTTGCTAGAATTTATTGGTATTGGTTCGTCATATCTAAATGTACATTAATTCTTATACCAGAGTTAACTGCTATTTAGTAGTGGTTAAATATACAGCCTAAACTATTGAATGGATTAGTGAAAATATTGAGCTTCAGTATGACGTTGTGGTGGAGCAACCAGGGAGTATGTAAGGAGAAGGCCTGAAAGGCATTTAGGCAAGGATATGATGTAAGGTACGCAGAGGAAAAAATTATAACTAGAGACTACTACCAACTTACAAGTTTGAAGACCCTTCAAACCGGAAACATACACTCATTTCATGCATCGAGAACCTGCGCAGATGGAGGTGAATAACAACGCTATACGACAATATAACGTGTTCCATGGGCGAGTGCTGCATCCCACCCCACCTGACGTGACTCTCTACACCATTGAGCCACAACGACGTAGTTAAAGTGGATGAATCTTGGAGGTATAATGATTTATTTAGCTCTGCATGAAGCCCTAGTATGT